AGAACAAAATGAACTCAGTGAATATTTAACTTTACTATAAATGTTGTCTTTTGTAATGCATAGATAACAAAATCAAGAACTTATAGTAGTTTGTCATGCAATATTTTGATACGATTGAAGATTTTTTGAAATATCAGTCAGAATTAATGATAAAGTTGATGATTTAATGGTTAGAATATTAAGCAGATTGGAATAAGTGAACAACAACGACGTCGTTCAACAGTAACGAACGATACAATTGATGTTGAGGATGCTGCAACTGAAAAAAGAACTGGTCTATCAGTACGAAAAATTTCAACATTATACAATCAAAATTCGAAAATGATTTTTTTTAAGTTTGTTAATGTTTTTCGACGAAAATTATCAAGATTACCAACTGATGTTGAAAATTTATATACAGGTATTCGATAAGCAACAAACATTATAAATAGTATATAAAAAAAACAAAAACATAAAACGATATTAATGAAGACTTTCCTCCTTTAAACGAATGTCGACTTTATTCTAGTATTTCATTTGCATTTGACCACCCAGGCCGAATAATCTGATAGTAAGATCATTATGATCTTGTACGATTTTATATGGTAACCTTACTGTCACGATTGGTTTCGATCATATTAAAGCATCTTCTAATAATACTTTCTATTCTTCGTATATCTAAAGGTTGAAGGTGCCACTAGGAATCGTGGGCACGATTCTGTGGCAACCTAGAGATAAGAGTGACCAGATTAATATAAGATCAATCAATATCTACCATACTTATCGTCAGAATATTGCTTGTCCTGACGTTAACATCATCCATTCCAATTTTGTCATTAAACAATGCGCGAATTTTCGTTATTGTTTCAAAAATAGCAGACGAATTAGATGCAATTTACTACGGTATCAATTATAGTCCAATCCATTATTTGATAGTATTCAGCTATTTAAACACATAGCCAAGCCATCCAATTTTTCGTAGACTGTGTTGATATCAGTTCAGGCAGGACTGACAAAATAACATTAATGCTCAGATTCTGCCATCAAAGTCGAATAACCTGCAATTTAGGTTTAATCTGCAAGTCGATAAACATTCAAATAAACAATTCTATTACTTATTGCCAAGTCATACGTTAATGCAAACATATACACTACTTGTTTAAAATAATCAAAAACTGGAAAGAAGCTTTCAAGGTATCGATTCAATATATAATCAGTCGTGTCTATACAAGAGCTTGTATTACACTAAAAAAAAACATTTTAGATTCTGAAGCCAAAGAAAATCGTTTATTCATTGCAGAACTTGCACATCGGAACATTTATTATGTTTCGATTTAGTTCCAATCGGCGTCGCTTTTATTCATATGCCAATTCGTCCATTTCTTAGTACCGTGAGGGACAGTAGTTAATATTCATTCGGTCGAGATTTTTTTACCACGTACTTGCCGGACTCGGTACGATGAATAACAGTATTGTAAAAGAAATGTTAGCCGGAAGATGTTTTGCTTTTCAGAAGCTGGTAAAAGGTAGTGAGAATCTTTACAAAAGATGCCTTTCGCCGAACGTTCAGCTTCCGGAAGGTGAAGGGGATTGAATTAAAACTACAATAGATGAAATCAACAAGTACACTGATACCCGTAAAGATCAAACTAAAGACACCGAAAAAATTGCTCTGACTACTTGTTCATGTCTCTTGCATTCATATCTATATCATCACAACTTTCAACGACGGTTTACTTCAGTGTAATGTTACTCAAATTGAATTCAAAGCATTAGTGAGTAGTAGCAAAATGATATCGCATTTAGGCTTATTGCAGGATATGGATATTCATGTTATGGGACCAGATGCAGGGTAGATGTATCAGACCTTCTTTTCGGATAGATCTGTGAATATAAATCTAGGAGATTTAAGCTATAAAAAGAAAGAAGAATATACAAAAGTATGCATTGTTCATGAACCAATATGTCACCACTGGCACGCCGTATAATAATGGACTTAACTATCCAATCAACAAACAATCATTAGCTATCAAAAGAGAGACAGTGATCAAACTTATTAGGAAAATAGCTCAACTCATCACGATCATTGGAAGATGTCGTCGATGATGATAAAAACGTGATTTGTCTGTACAATCGACCATTACTGATTCAGCTAAGACGACAGTACAACATAGATTATCTTGTTCGAATCTTGTCAAATAGAACACAGTTACTTGATGACCACTTTCTCAGTGACATATTTAGATGCAATCATCAAGCAGAATTCTAGTGGCGTTGAACATCATCTGATAATTGTTTTGATGTTTTTTGATAGTCTGCCATCGTTTTGAGCTGATTATGTAATGAGGATCCAATTCAGAATAGCAGATGAACAAGAGTATTAATTTTCATGATCAAAAAAATCCGAAAAATATTTTGGTTTTTGGCTGTAATAAAATTGATTATCAATGTTAACTTTAAAAGAACCTTTTGTAATCAAATGACACACAATTGAGTACGTAGATGATGACGGCGAGTTTCATGGAAAACTTTCTTCAAATGAGTTAAGATTTGTGTATCTGTCATCTTATTTATCCAAATAGAACCAATAGAATTCAAAAAGTCCGAGTCACATTGTAACTGTGTCTTTGACAAATATTTCTTATGGAAAAATGGCATTCTTAGTAAGCCGTACCTGTCAAGTTGATTTTATATGTATACTAGATAGGTTTGAACTAGAGAAAGGTATTTTCTATACACATTTCTGCTTTACTATTCAACAAAAAATGACAATAAGCAGGATAAGACGAGTCTCCAGTCGCAGGACAAAATTTTCGTTGTTTCTTTTCAAACCATAGGTCGATGAAATACAGAGCTCTTTAAGCTTAGAAAAATATTTAAAAAAACCAGAACGTGATGGAATATCAAAGATAAATCTAGGCTATCTTCATAGTGTGTTCATTATTTTGAAAATGAGGGACCAAAAGCTTTCAAATATTTATAATATTTGAATATCTTGATTAGTGTCTATAAAAATCGTCTTGTTAGTTAAAATTTGTATTTTCTCATGAATTTTGAATCAATATAACTAGACAGATTCGTTTTTCTATTGATGTTTTGAATCTCTTCATCAATTCAATAAAAGAATGGTGTTACGTTAATATTTTACAATACTATTGTTTTTGTCGCTGTATACTATATGTCGAATATATCTCTCTTCCATACCACTATTAGTTACTCAGATTTAGTGATATACAATGAATCGAACGGTCGATAATGAAACCTTGATTTTTTTATCGAAAATCACATTTGAAATCAATGTTGTATCGAAGTAAATTTGACGGAAACAGATCTAATTATTATGAGATTTTCTCTACTTCTAACATTTTTACTTTTTCAATTGAAATGTAAAAATAAACTTATTCTCGAAGATTAATTTTATTTAAGTATGAAAATAGTACTTAGTACTATTACTTAATATGTGAGTATCGCGTTTTCTATTTGAAATGTTTTTTTATTTTCTGTCGAAATTTTCATTATTGATCGTAATGTTATAGCGATTATCATAATTTTTAGTTCCTTGCGATGTTTCAATCACAAATAGATCTATGTAGAACATAATCAAAAGTTGAAGTTAAATTTGATAGAATATTGTTTTATTTTTTCCGATTTTTTGCTTTTTAACGATATTTAAAAAAACAACTATGCAGTGATAAGTAGTAATGTGTCATGGATTTGAACTCACGTTAATTTTCTCTAATATATGTGTCAAGAATCATACTTAACAAAACAAAAAGATTCAAAAATTCATAAATATAATGACTTTAATCAAAATCTTTAATGTGATATAGAAAGTAAACACAAAATAAACGGTAAGATATGAAATCCAATTATAAACACTAGTACACCTAAATCTGCTTCTTCTCCAATAACAGCTTCTTTTTTTAGAATAATTTTTGAAATTATTAAAAAACTAAAATATAGACTAATAACAATTAAAAATAATGTAAAAGTATATTTAATTCTTATTTTTAACGATTGTTTAGAAATCGAAGAAGCAAATAAATGAATCCAAGCAAATCCAAAAAATAATGTCAAAGTAGATAATCCGACAATTATTACAGATAAAGGTGATAAAGGAGGCGTTGGTTTTTTGAAATAACCAGTTGATAAAATCCATTGATAGAAATTATCTTGACCATTCTCTTCAAATATATGATCCAACTGAAAATGTAATAAACAACCAGCAACTGCTAATAAATAGCATTGTTTCATATTCAAAGACATGTTATTCCTATTCGTTTGCTCCATATGACCACTAACTAAATCATTATTTGAAAATTCTGTACATTTCCAAATTATAATTTTTTTTGATAATCTTGAAGTTAAAAAAGATATAATAGGTGCAATTATCAGAATATATCCAACACTATGATGAATCCAACTCATGACTGTATCAGCTACCATAGGAAATGTAACTGCAAAACACCAACCAATAAAAGCTCCAATATCGGGTCCAAAAAATCCATTCAAAGCTAGTATAAGACAATGCAATGCTGTGAAAGATCCTTTTGTCGATATCATGTTTAATGTTCCAAATCCTAATGCATAAGCAACATGAACAACTGGACTTGGCATAGTCCGACCACTAAATACAAAAAAAAGCAGTACATGAAGTTTTATATATATGAATTAGAAGAATTTTTTGTGACTAAGATCTTGGTCTTTTGTAATTACAAAATTGTAAGTCATTCTATTGAAAAGACTTGGATATAAAAATTTTCACTATTAACGACAAAGCAATTCAAGTATACTCTTCATCTAATTCTTTTTTTTTCAGCTAACTGACGTACAGCAGCTATTCTTGAAGTAATTATTTAGATGTGAAATAAATTCTTAAGAAAATCAGATTCAATAAAAATGATGTATCTTTACTATTGGAATCAATAGGTATGACTATTTGACTAATTTTTCTTCGTACTATAAAAGTCATGCTACAAAATTCGTACAGGCTTATTAGGAATATTTCTGCAGCGGAAGATCATTATAGTTCAGTGAAAATGTAATTGATATAGACGAATAATTTTGCATATAACAATACTGGGTATGAAGCGTTAGAATGAACTATTTTGGGATTTATTTAACAAATTCATTGAGTAAAATGGAATTTTCACACAATAACTAGAATAAATTCAACAATATTAAACTCGATTATTGTGACTCGATATAGATCGATGATAACCAATCCAAAAATAACTACTGAAAGAAAACCAATAATATGACAGTTAGTTGGGACTGCAGATGGCGCCCCTTGACAGAAGATCTGTTCAACAATCGACCTTGAAATCCATATCTTCAGCATGTTTATATGCCCGTGTAGCAGTTGCATGTTTTTTTTTTTTGAAAATTTAATCGAATACTTGTTTTAACATTGAACCATTAGGTGATAGTATCATGAATTCGCAAAAGGCATCAATATATATATATCTTCGACTATAAAATTTTTGTTCACATTCCAGTAGAACGTCGGAAAGTTTATTGACACTTGAAGAGAGTATTCACAGTCTATATCGTTTCAAGTATAATGCAAATTCTAATATTAACATTAGATAGATCACTAGAAAGAAAATATTTAAGTGAAACTAAGAGATAAATAATGAACGTGGCGATTTCAAAAATGTCTAGAGTATATCAGACATTCCTTTTCAAAATTCTGTCGATTTTGTAAAACATGACTAAAACAAGAAAAAATCACAATCCATGCAAGAACTATCGATTGTATGGAGTAAGGATATTTTTTGTCTAGTGACAGCCGAAAGTGTCAGGTAGAAAAATAAGAATCATATTCACACACATCCTTTCTCTTTTGTCTGATATATTATTAATTTATCTATTTAGCATTAATTATTTGTTACCTAATGCAATCAAATCGAAGAAAGTCACACGATGGAAGATTGACTTAGATAATTTTTTTAATAAGTCTTCTTTGGTGTGAGATTGGTATATCACAATTTCAGCAATGGAAATTTTTAAAGCTAAAGCCCACGTTCAATGTATTAATCTGTTAATAAGAACTATAATTCTTCTAATGGTGTAATAAAGGGTGGGTGTGGGATGTGAGTGTTACTCAACTCGGCAACCAGACCCAGAACTACATCCTGAAGACCTAACAATTTTCTTCAATTCAATTACTTTATCGTCTTTTGTACTATGATCTCAGTTGTTGGTATACTCAATAGAGAACTTGAGTAGTCTATTAATCAAAATAGTTATCAAATGTTACTATAGTCAAATTTCTATATGTGAATATTATTTAATAGACAAGCTCTTCATAAAGAATAACTATTCAAGTTCATTGCATGTTCCAACCTACTCAAAGCTGGGAATGTAAGGAAGCCCTATAATAAAATAAATTAATATGCAACTCTCGAGTTATTAAAATAACAGTCAAGAAAGGATAGACTAGCGAGAACACGCCCTTAGTGTTGCAGATAACGTTGTTGTGTGAAAAATAATAAGTATTTTCAACTTGATTTAATACTTTTTATCAATCTTCCACGAAAAATTACTTTTATCATAATACGTATAGTGAGAATTTCGTACTTATAAAATAGAACTCTGGATGCAATCCAAGTCGAAGACGGCAGTCTTCAAGATTTTTACAAAGACTGATCACTAAAGTGTCAACAGAAGAAAGAAAAGGAATCCAGTGAGTACACAATTTAATTTGGAAGAGTCGCAACACATTTAAGGAATTAAGCAGTGTGAACTCTGAAAAAAAACTAAGGTGCCATACGCAACCTAAAATACTTGTCCTACCGATGTGTGTGTGTGGGTGAGAGTATCGTAGAAGCGAAACTAAGCACCCACATCCTGCGTAGTGATAGAACGAAATGATTGATGACAATCAACATAAGATATAAATAGACAAGAACACAATCCTAATCTCACCGGGTTGATTTGTTTTTATGGTAGGTAGAAAAATAATACTATGAAGAGCAATATCAAGAATATAATTTTAAGCATTCATTGAACTTTCAAGAAACAAAAACAAACTGAGATAATAAGTTGAAATTCAACAATTGAAATGATTAGCTGCTATTTATTTGAATCTTCTTCATTTCGATTTTTAATACGAATTAGCTTTTATTAAATGTATATTTTATGGATTTAGTCTTTCCTTATTTCGATAATGTTCATTTTTAATCATAACAATTTTAATGTTCATGGTAAAACTGATTATCCTGAATGGAAATTTATTCGACATTTGTTCATAGAGAATTTTCTTCAACGATGAGATTTACAAGGATCAAAAGCAGTTTATTATGAAGGTATACCAGTTGTTGATCTCTGGAATGGTTGGTTCGATGAATCAAAAAGCAAACCTAACGAGAACGATAAACTACAAATTTCTTTTTCAACGACAAAAGTTTTATTAGCTACAGCTGTTGCATCAAGTGTTCAAAGAGTTTTACTCGACTATTCATCACTAGTTAGAAATTATTGACCAAAATATGGATGATACGGAAAGAAAAATACAATAATTGCTGATTTTCTTTCACATCGTGCTGGATTACCGTCAGATATTAGTTCGTTCGAAGTTCGAACTAGCATTAAATTGGAGAGTGATTATTCCTATACTCGAGAAAATAAAACAGAATGGACACCTGGAACAGCTCATGGATATGACGGTTTAACTTATACATGGTTAACGGGAGAACTTGTTCAAAGAGTTGATCCGAAAAAACGGACGTTTGGACAATTTATTCAAGATGAAATTACAAATCCATTAAAAATCGAATTTTATTTTGGTTTATCAAAAGAAAAATCTAACCGTGTATCATCATTATATTTTGATTCTAATGTGTGTACTATTTTGAGTAGAACAACTGTTTCAGAGTTAACTATATTCAATGATTATCTTTATCATTAAGCAGAAATTTCAAGTGTCAATGAAATACCAAATATTTGATAAATATGAATTAAAATCAATTGATCAATTTTTTTTTATTTTAGGAGTTGGTGGAAGTATTAGTTTTGCTGCACCTGAAAAAATCTTGCATTTGCTTATATTGTGAACTAATATGACGTCAAGAAAAATCGACAAAAACTAAGTCCTCGAACATAGATCATTATCAATCCATATTGCAACAATAATTAATAATAATTGTATTCGTTAAGAAATGATTCTTATTACTTCAATTTAAAAAATGTTTCTTCAAATAAATATTGAGATTTCATGTTTAAAAGAGCATTGCTATTTATTCGAAAAAGAACAATAAATATAGTCTCTTCATATAACGAACGACATTTTTGATCAAGTTACGTTGTGGGTAGTGATTGTTGTCAACAAAAATTCACCATCTAAATCTACAATCACATCCTTGTTCTGTTAGATTGCGTAAAAAATAATTACCCTGTTGATTCATTCTCATTGAGCTAAATTACCCAAAATGCTACTTGGATCTAGTCGTGATTAACATCGACTCATAAAATAATGATATGAGTTGCTTGTCCCGAGGAACATGGAAATTTGTGAATCAACGTCATGTCCGGAAAAAAAAACTTCAAGTAACATATAAAACACTGAAAAGTCAACTAACGATGGGAACCTCAGGTCAGATTTCTTCTTCTGATTTCAATGATTTAAGTTCCTATTTAGATTAGACTAACGAGGGAACCGTCCGAAGTGATTAACCGCTTTTGAGTTCGGACTCTATACATAAGACAGACCCTAATGAG